CAAACGGCTTTGTTCTTTCGTTTGCAGACTTTATCTACGGAATCAAAGTAGAGCGGTTCAGGACACGACTGCACCCACGCTACGCCGCCGCTACACAGACAGAATTTCTTGCAGTCGTCGTTCGGAAGTAATACTGCAAACTCAGGGTCTTCTTCAGGACAGGTACCGATGCAGGCAGCTGGGTCAAGGTTTTGAGTTATCATTTTATCATTGCAAATATAATTCTCTGGGAAATCACAGACTTTCAGAATAGGATTGAAAACGAGTTCCGGAGAGTGGCATTTTTTAAGAGCACTAATGCCATCTTCGCAGACGTAATATAGATTGCAGTCGGTCTCGTGAGGAATTTTGGTGGTTCCTGTCGTCGTGTGGCACTTGGTTGACGTTGGGATAGTGGGTACGTTCTCAGATCCAGCGTCACAAGCGACATTCTCTGGAAAATCACAGATTCGAAGCTTCGGATTGAAGTATAAGTTCCTAGGACATGTCTTCAAGATCATCTTGCCGTTGCTACATTTGTAGTAGAACCTACAATCGTATTTGTAAGGCGTTTCGTTATCCTCGTCGTAACACTTTAAATCCGACCTAGGGGTACCAGACGGCCGTTTTGTGGGAACCGTCGGCGTCGGCACGAGATTGGTGCATTTGGCTTCGGTCGGCTCGTTGCAAATCTGACGAACGTGATCATAGTGCAGACCACCCGAACAATCTCGAAGAACCTGTTCTCCATCAACACACTCGTAATATTGTGTGCAATCGCAATCGTGAGGCAACAGTACTTTCTCTACGGAACCTGCGGGAGGGCAAATACCTAGAGCGATTGTCGGCATAGGTGAAAAAATTAAATCACATCCTTTCTTTTGCGGATAATCGCACGTCTGTAGACTAACGTTAAAGTGAAGTCCTTCTTCGCAGGATTTTAATATCTTCTCACCCTTGTAGCATAAATAATACTCGGTGCAACTAATTTCGTGCTGAAACGCTCTGCCGTCCGGCGAGCATTCAGTATCGTAGTCGTCAATTAGGTAATTGTAAGATGGATGTGGCTGACATTTCACTTTGGCGGCCGAATTGCAAACTTCTGTCGCGTCATCGAAGTACTTGCCGATTGGGCATGTTCGTAATATCTTTTCACCTTCCACACACTCGTAATATTGATTGCATAGACATGAATGAGGAAACCGTGCACTCTCGGATGATCCCTTGGGAGGACACGTTATGCGGGGCTTACCTATAGCTTTTGTAGTTGATATTGTTGTGGATACTGTTCTAGGCGTTGTCGAAATTGTGTAATCGATGCATTTAACCTCAGTTGGCTCGTTGCAAATTTGCCGAACGCTATCAAAATACAGACCACTCGGACAAGATCGAAGAACTCTCTTTTCATCGATGCATTGGTAATATTGCGTGCATTCACATTCGTGAGGCATAAATACAGTCTCTATAAAAGAACCTGCAGGAGGGCAAGTATCTAGATCGGTTATTGGCGGGGATCTATTTAGATCGCAACTTTTTTGCGGGTAGTCGCATGTCTGGATAGTCACGTTGAAGTGAAGTCCCTCGATACAATGTCTCAAAATTTTCTCACCATTAGAGCATAAATAATAGGCCGAACAATCGGTGTCGTGCTGAAATGCTCTGCCCTCTGGAGCACATATGATATTAGTATTATAGTCATTAATATTAATATTATAGTTATCAATTGGAATGTCGAAGGGTGGAAGCGGTCGAGTACACTTCACTATTGCAGCCCAATCGCAAACTTCTCTCACGTAATCAAAATGCATGCCGAATGAACATGTTTCTAATATCTTATCACCGTTTACACATTCGTAATATACGTTGCATAGACATGGGTGAGGGATCCGCGCTTTCTCCGTTGATCCTTTTGGAGGACACTTTGTGCGGGGTTTGTTAGGATCTCTTGTTGTTGTTGGTTCTGTTGTAGTTTTCGTTGTAGTTTCCGTTGTAGTTTCTGTGGTAGTTTCCGTTGTAGTTTCCGTTGTAGATTCCGTTGTAGATTTCGTTGTAGGCGTTGGTGGGGATGGAGTACTTCTAGCATTGCAGTCTACATTTTCCGGGTAATCACATTGACCGATCACTGGATTGAATAAGAAATAACTTTCGCATTTTATCGGCTGCGTACCTTTTATGCCGTTAACACACCAATAATAATAATTGCACACAGTCTCATGAGGAACCTTGTATCGCTTACCGTTTGATACGCAAACCCAGGCAGATGGATCTATTGATGGATTTATTGATTTCGTCGGCATTGGAGAGAACAGCGGTGAAGTCGATGGATTCGTCGAAGTTAACGAACTAGTAGTTGATCGTACGGTATCCGTACTCGATGGAATGTTACAGTTTACATTTACCGGATAATCGCATACACGGAGCACTGGATTGAATAATAAATTGCGGTCGCATTTCTGAGGGATCGGATTTACCTCGCCGTTGTAACATAAATAGTAATGATCGCACGTAGTCTTGTCAGGAATCATATGTGTCCTGTTATCGGATTCGCAAGAATCCAATGACGGAGTCGTTGGAGAACTCGATGACGGGATTGTCGACGTTGGAGTACTCTGTGTCGTGATCGGTGTCGGAGTTGTCGTTGACGGAGTCGTCGGTGTTGGAGTTGTCGTTGACGGGGTCGTCGGTGTCGGAGTTGTTGTTGACGGGGTCGTCGGTGTTGGAGTTGTCAGTGTCGGGGTCGGAGTTGATGATGGAGTCGTTGGAATCGATGACGATAACTCACATCCTGCGCTCCACGGCCAATCGCATACTTGAAGTTTGGGATTAAAGTGCAATCTATTGCCGTTTTTATCCATGACAGGACAATCTATTGGCTCCCCTTTATTTCCCACATGACAACTGTAGAATTTCGTGCAGTCGGTTTCATGAGGAATAAAAACTGTTTTATTCTCTGGATTGGTCTTAGGACATTCTGTTAGAATATCAGTTACTGGTGATTTGTTGATGGCAACAACGCTCAATGTGGCCACGTATAAAATGGTCACTAAGTATATGCCTGAAATTTAAAACAATATATGAAATGTTATTTATGAAATTAACCTTGGTAATTAAATTCGAACAATATTATTTTATTCTTCACATTTATACTTTGCATTTAATCGAAAAAATGGAAAATCTGCGAAGTAAAGTAATATAATGATAAAAATATTTTAAACTTGCACATATCTACACACATATATATATATATATATATATATATATATATAGTATATATATATTATATATCTGTCATTATTATTTTATGCTTCTCCTGGCCGACAACCTACGAACAACCAATTACTTGCACTCTGCACAAAATTCTCTCTTTCTTCACGTAAATAATTGCTCTGCACATTCGTCACTTAATAAACAGATGTTCAATGCGTTTTAGTCGTCCTTCCGTTTACTTTTGTTTCATCACTTTATCGGAGTTCCGTCAGTCGCGAGCACTCACCTTTCATCGTGAAAAACCCATTCGCTATAATTGGAAACCAATATCTAGATCTTCACTCACTTAATTGCTAACTGACGAATTTGCCTTTACGAAATGATTTTTATATATAAGCGCACGGCGCGTTATCGCTTAATAAGCGCTTATCATATCTAACATTTGACGAAACCCTTCTCTTGGGAATGTCACTTGAGCAAATTGAAGCAGGTGCAAAAATTTTTTTATACGTAACAGATACAGGGTGTCGAGTAACAAACGCGGCATTATAAACGCGGACGTAAGGATTATAAATATTTTGTTTTACCAAAGTATTATACAAATGAGCTGCAATAATCTTGAAATAATCGAAAATACTATCTAATAATAATAAAGTTTAATTTGCTAATTTTTCGAGGAAATATTGAAAAATTACTAAAACACCAAGTATATTTAGCGATATAATAAATTATCATAAACAACTCGCGATCTTAATTCTATTAAATTAAATTTTCTGAAGCTAATTTTATTTTAATGAGATTTTAATTTCAAATTAATTGTGCAAGGAGATAACAAAATTGGAAAGTTACAAATGAATTGGAAACTTATAAATGATATTTCTTGACATTTACAGAAGAATCGTGAATTGTCAGACATGTTGCTATCGAGAAAAAAAAGAGGTAGTCGATTAGAAATTCTGACATAATAGAATGATGCTGAGATTAATTTAATTTAATTTTTTCAATAATCTAAGATCTATAAGATACAGATATGAGTATCGATA